GGAAACATGCTCACGAGAGACTTAAGGTTCATGAGTCTAGTTTGGGGCATAAAAACTGTTTGCTAAAAATGAAAAATCGGGGACAAGTAGAGACCCGGGTTGATTCTCAATTATATATACAATTAGAAGATGAAAAAAAGTATTGGCGTAACGTATTACTTCGAGTAGTTGTAGCTGTGAAACATCTAGCTACGCTTGGACTTCCTTTTCGTGGAAAGACAGATAAATTTGGATCCACAAATAATGGAAACTTTCTGATGATGTTGGAAGCTATTTCAGAGTTTGATCCATTTCTTGCCAAACATATTGAGCATTTTGGCAACCCAGGAAAGGGCAGCACCTCTTACTTATCATTTGCAACATATGAAAAAATTATTAAAATTATGGTTGACAAAGTTACCGAAACCATAATTGAGCAACTTCAAAAAGCCAAATACTTTTCTTTTAGCGTTGATTCTACTCCGGACATAACCCATGAAGATCAACTTTCTTTAATTGTGCGATTTGTTCAAGATAATGCAGAACCAGTTGAACGTTTCCTTTGCTTTCTGCCAAATACTGGTCACAAAGTAGAAGACATGTTGCAAGCCATTTTGAAGACTTTTGACAAACTGAATATCGATATTGCCAATTGCAGAGGTCAGTCTTATGATAATGCAAGCAACATGTCGGGGCAGTATAACGGCCTGCAGGCAAAGATTAAAGAAAAATGCCAATATGCAACATATATACCTTGCACCGCACATTCCTTAAATTTGATCGGATCCTCAGCAGCTGAGTATTGCCCAAAAGCTACAAAGTTTTTTGGAGTATTGCAAAATCTGTACGTATTTTTTACAGGATCAACGGAACGTACAAAAATATTGCAAACATTTTTAACGGAACCTGAAAATGTAACCGTTAAAAGTTTGTCACATACGCGGTGGTCGGCAAGAGATGATGCTTGCTCAAGCCTGAATAAAAATTGGGAACAAATAATTAAAGCTCTGGAAGCAATAAAAAGTAACTCTTCGCAACAAAAAGCCTTAATCAAAAATGAAGCTACAGGTTTATTGGCTCAACTGAATTCCTTAGAAACAGCGATATTATTGGAATTCCGGGGATCAGTCCTGAAACAATTTAATACCGTTTCTAAAGTTTTGCAAGGTGTGGACACAAACGTTGAGGTAGTCTCCAACCTTTACGATTCCCTGATTACTTTTGTGAAAAATCAACGCGAATTATTCGATGCATTTGAAAAAGCTGGAAAAGAAAAGTGTACTGAAGATTACAAAGATAGCCGGAAAAGGATAACAAAAGGAAAAAAACGAGACGATGAGGAAGGAGAAGTAATTTTACAAGGACGGGACTATTTTAAAGTGAATACTTTTTTGCCAATATGCGACCAACTGTTGGGCGAGTTAAGGAGCCGTAAAACATCCTATGACGCTGTAACCGCCAAATTTTTATTTCTTTCCAATTTAAGTACACTATCTGAGGCGGAAATTAAATTGAACGCATTATCACTCCAAAAGTCTTATCCTACTGATCTTGCGGATGATTTAAAGGATGAATGCATACTATTAAAGAATTTTTTGCCGTCTCAGGGACAAGAAACTAAAACAAGTTTACGCGAACTAAACTTATTAATTAATAAAAAGGATCTGAAAGTGGCGTTTCCTTACATTGAAATTGCGTTGCGTATATTTCTTTGTACTGCAGTAACGAATTGTAGTGCAGAACGCTCATTTTCGGTAATCAAACGGATAAAAAACTATTTAGGATCGCGTCTTATCGAAGAACGGTTTAATAATTTGGCAATTTTGAACATCGAAGCCGATTTAACAAATAAAATTGATTATGACGATGTAATAAACGAATTTGTTAAAAATTTTGTCCACAGAAAAAAATGTAAAATATAAAATCGATAATTTTTTTTTGTTTCCTTTCATTCCTTGATGGGGCGGAAAGCTACAGGAGCCCGGAGCGCGCAACCTTAAAATACGCCCCTGCCCGTGGGTAGAACTACCTTAGCATATTGTTGATCTATGAGTCAGTCAGTGACGAAATTAAGATATTTTGAATTGCAATAATTCTTAAAAAACTGGTTCACATTTAATGTGCTTTGGAAAAGTGCCTCATTGTCTGACGCCTTCCTGGTCACTGAAAATTTAGGCTCCTAGTTTACTCCACTACGAAGTTACAGAGGTTCCAAAATGAACAAATGGCTTCGAGAAAAGGATGGTACGGCCGTGCCCTTTTAATTTTTTGCTCGACTTCTGTGCCCCCAGACTACCCACTTATTAATTATATATTTTTTATTACACATGACGACGGAATAACGTTAAAACAAACCTAAATTATAGTTAAAATGGTTTTAGTTCTATTTTTAGAAAGTTCCAAATGAACTACTTCTAACTTCAAATGAATGACATGTAATACCAAAAATAGTACATGAAAACCATACAAATAAATTAAAAACTCCTTTCTTTCGAATTCTTTGGTACATTCCATTAGAAAGCGTTTATCTAAAATTTCTACCTTTTCCATTTCAATGATATTGCTAATTAATCTCAAAAAGTTTCTTTGTAAAGCCGGAAAGTGTTCTAGGAAATATAAAGACAAGAAGCTTATACAATTCGAACAAAACGAGAACAAAATGATTTCGTTGACGTTACGGTGCGGTGGTCGGAATTACAAATAAGATCAATGGGAATCTACTCCTGTCCTCTTCTCTCCTTTCTGTAATATTTTTTTGTCGACTCATTGTTACGAAAATTCCATTTAACTGATGCGATGACGTGTTTCTTTTTCACATCTCACGATAATGATATACTTCGGGGCAATGTTAAAATTTATTGTTTAAAGAAAGATATATTTAAGTAAGACACAGAATAACTTGTACTTATTAACATGATACCTGAGGGCCTATTCTAATTGTCCTAGAACGAAAGTTTGTTATATTTTTACATATAAAACAAGTATTTAATATACTAGTACCGATAATCACACTTTTATGCTTAGTATATTTGTAATAATGCTTAAATTAATAATGAAAATATAAAATAGGTATTTATTTTAGGTTCGTTGTCACGTGACCGCAAACAGCGCATGACGTCATGACCCTCTTACCCTCTTGCTCGTCATGATCAGAACTTAGAGAATTCAACCTAATCTATAATAGCTTAAATATGATTATGCTTATATATAATTAGACCGATAACAGTTTCAGAGTGCCGTGACGTCATAGCGACGCCATGACAGAAGTGGCATTATCGCGGGAAATTAATTAAATTTAAGTATTTTCTAACTCTAACTTATTATATGAATGATAATTATTTAAATATTGATTTAGATATATTTCATGTATATCTATAAAATAAAAATATGAAAAAAGTTGTCTACACCCTCATCATAAAAATGGGTTTCTTTGGAAAATAGACGATTTCGGAGAAATAATGGAATAGCTCTTCTAGTGATATATTAATCGTACGAGTAATAGCTAACCTAACCTACATTTAATAATAAATATATTGTAAAGAAAAATCAAGTGCATATTTTTTAAGTATTTTATTTTAGTAAGTATCGTTAATAGAAAATATTTATTGATTTCTTATAATTTCACGCGCTCTATCCATAAATGAAATAACTTTTAAACGGTTTTATCACGTTTGTTTTTTCTTTTATTGACGTTTCAGACCATTTACAGGTTCCGCGTTCACATAAAACATCAATAGAAGAAAATACTATTGAAAAGTTGTTTCATTAAAAACATAATTACGAAAAAAAAACATTAAAATGACATGTCATGTAATTTAATTCTAATTTTAAGATTTATTAACATTTTCATTATTATTGTGAACTATTACTAACTGTATGTATATTGATAAAAAGAAAGAAATTTTGTTTATGTTAATGGTACTAAAAGATAGCTTGGCTATTCGCAAATACATATCATTAATCATCAGGAATTATACAAACTATTAATTTGATTTGTTATTAAATACTATATTACATTATTTTATTTTTCGCAAAAGTACAGTGTAACACACGGCTCTAAAAACTTATTAAGGGTCTTCGCATATCTATGAAAACTCACAAATTATGTTATAAAACATTCAACCTTGCACACTCGATGGATGATCCGTCGCTTTGCATTTTTAAACACTTGTTCCATCCGGGGTGGATGTTTTAAGCATTTTTCAGTAAAAATATTTATCAGTATAGCATTGTAAAAGACAAATTGATCAAAAATAATATTTTATGATGTCAATAATTGAATAGATTTCAAGAAATTATAATACAAGTATTTTATTCATAAGTAACTACTCATTAATGATATATGATTTCCCTATGGATAAATAACAAATGAAAATAAAATAATATAAATATTTCTCAGTTACATATGAATAATATCAATATGAAAGCATTGTTTATCAAAAAGGTAGCAATGTATTAAGTAGACTTAAAGCAAATTTAATCAGAAAAACTGAAAACACATATCTATAGAATAAAGTAATAAAATCCATTGAAGTAGAGGCAACAAAGACTCACACGTTGGAAAGTAAAGAGCCATCATAAAAGTTAGTGGCTTGAGTTAATTATAAAGGACTGATCAAACTAGTATAAAGGTGGTTGTAAAAGAACCACACCATGACCGCAAAGAAGCCATTAGCCGATTACTGGCGCTAGTCACGGTAAATGATGTAACTACAGGCATAAATGACACTCAAGTCAAATTTTTAGGGTTCCTTAACTCAAAAAGAAAAATCGGAACTCATATCCCTTAACTGTCTGTAACAGATGATTTACTCCGAAACTGCTGGATTGGTTGAGATTAAAGATAGACATGTAAGTACGTCGGTTATTCAAATAACATTTAAAGAAATGTAAATATTGTTTGAAAAAACTTACTTTAATATATTGAACATTAAATATTGCTTATAAATAAAGTCAACCTTATTAATCTTGAAACTTAGTCGCAAAGAACACCGAAGTATGTTATCCAAAAACAATTTCACTTAAAATTCCTCTTTGTAAACTTGCTCGGCAAAGAATTCACTTTTTAACTCATCCCAAAACTTCACCCTTTTCCCTTCTGGTACGTCGACCATTTTAAGCTTGCGACTCAAATTCATGGCCCTTAAAGACTTGTCGGACCTCAAAGGTTCCCATTTGAGATCCCCTAAAATATTATCCATGGTCGTCGGGGTCGGATCCCTGAAAAACGAAAATAATTATAATATTAAAATTCGTTGCTAAAATTTATATATAATTAAATGAGAGTTACCTTTCACCTTACTTAATCACATCAATAACAGGAAAAATATATCTGTTCAACTATAAACAGCAATGCAAATAGCATCGCTATTCTTTTAAAATACAGTATCGAACGCTGCGCTGTCACAGCATTAGAGATCCAATCGAATAAAACCTACTTTAAAGGCTAAATCAGGTTGACGCTGTATATTTACAGAATGCCATAACAACCATCCTATTGTTTTTCGAAATTTTGTAACATTATCTGATATCTGTAGTCTAATATATGAATTTGTTTGATGTCATTAAAAAATGACACCTTATTCTCAAGTCCTGAGTTCAGTTCTAAATGAAAGCAATATAAACAACAATATAATAATTACTCTAGGTCCCTAGACTATATGATACGTCATTGTTTCTAAGTTATATACTCGTAAGACGTAATTTTTAGCTGCTTATCTTATATGAGCGCTTATAATTTATTCAATTAACACCTCACCCGCTCTTGGCGAAATTTGTTAGCAGCCGCAAAAATTTCTTAATGAACTGCCCTTCAATCGACGCATCAGCATTATTGTAGTCGACGTATACTGATTTACATTTGAAAAGGTAACAGATTTCGTCACCAGCAGTCGCTCCACTCCAATTCAAATAAGGAACTGATGAGTCCCAACCCATATTAAACAATCCCTTAAACGAGAATCTGTATAGGTAAACGTTCCTGCAAGACACCTCGGCGTGGAGGCGCGCCTGACGCACTAAAGGATAAATCACTTGGTCCGAAACGTATTTTGCGTAACGCCTCAAACTTCTCACTCCAATAGTCCCATTAATAAAATAAAAATCCATTATTTTCTTCCGTATCTTTCTATATCGTTTCGAACCGTATTCATCCTTTATTCCCTCGAACGGCAATAAATATTGAAAATTGTAATTCAAATACATCAAAAGATTTTTATTATCAGCAAAACCGTTTAATTTGTAAAGAGATTCCAGGCTCGTGTAGCCCATAAGAACATCTATATTGTTATTTGTGAGTCGTGATTTGTAAACTTCCCAAGGAGGTCTTTTCATGAAAGCATCTTTAGAACTTTCAACACTTAGACTGAAAGCGTTTATCAACCTCTGATTGTCACGAACATCTGTACTGTCAAAAATGTCTCGAGATGCTAAATATATCTCGGTAGTAGTATAATTTTTTAGCATTTCATAGAGTTTAGTACGGTTCAGTTTATCCAAAGTACCGTTTAGGTTCCAGTATAGTTTATTTGTTACTTCAAAATTATAATTTCTGTAGTCAGAGGGTGAAAGTGCACTACCGCTCATAATTATCACTCTTTTGAACAAGCCATCAGCCACAGAAGTGAGAAGTAATGACGCAACTATAGTAGCTGCCTTTCTTACGCCTACAACTGTTACTCTATTAGGATCTCCATGAAATGAACCAATGTAACTATTAATCCACTTCAACGCTACCACTGTATCTTTTGCTCCCATATTACCTTCAGCAAACTCATCACCGGTATTTAAAAAACCAAAAATACCTTTTCTATACGATACTGTGACCACGACCACCTCTTCTTCTATAAAAAAATCTGGACGTAATGATTTGGAAGTACCACCAAGCCAAACAACGACCGGAATACTCCGTGTTTGATTATATAAAAACGGCATGAAAATGGATAGATGAAGACAATCTTCTTCATAACATCTACAAGTATCTTTGCGACAATTACTGTAGTCGAATGTTTCATTGCGCAATTTATTCAACTCCGGTGGCTGGAATAATTAACTCTTAGTTAATATCAATTCAAAAATATAAAAGCAAAGATATTGATAGAGATTTATTTGAATAGAAATAAAATGTGACAGCGCAAATGTCTATAGTAATAGTTGCAATATTTGAAATATAATTGCCAAATAACATTTGATTATTATTTTGCTATTTCTAATTTTAAATTTATATTGATAATAAATATGGCCTATCAAGACTTATCCTGACAATGTCGTTAGTACAGAATAAAAAATAAAGCGCAAAATAAACAAGAAAATGTTTTGGGACTTACTTTAAATCTTAATTCACGTAATGGCTCTTTAGCGTAAGGTATTTTCCAAAATGCACTGTAAGGTTTGTTTTGAAAAACACTGAATAACTGTTTTCCAATAAATATACTGCCTTTCACTTTTACATCAACACTTTCCTGAATTGTTATTGGAACATTTATGTGAATATAAATGAGGATAAAACAAACTTTATAAATTTCATTATTCATTTTTGATCACATAATGTTGGGGACATGTTATAGGAAATCTTAACTGTAATGGAATTATCTTACTGTTGAATCGTAAAATGTAAGCGGTCCACGTCATTATAAACTATAATGAGAAGCGTGAAAATATTTTTCATAACATGAACCTACATTTTGATATCTAAAATATAAAACACTTGATACATCAATGTTATTTAACATAGTTAATTTTTTTACACCCGTATTTTTTTAAACTAGAACTATTTCATAGAAACATGAAGAACTCAATGGGGCAGTGGTTAGCGAACATGGTCTGCGAAGCAAAAATTAAGCAGTTTTCAGAAAGAACGGTTATAGGATGGTTGACCAAAAATTAATTATCTGGAGCTCCTCCGTGCTTTCGGAGAGCCCGGCTACATCTCGTCGGTTCGCACTAGATTTTATCACAAATTTCTTCAATATCGGATTAATTTTGTTTTAAGCCTCCCCCACACCTCGCGCGCACGCGCTACTGAGTGCGTTTTTATATTATAACAGAATAGCACTGCTGTAAGCGTTGTACCTAATCAGAAAAATACTTCGACAACATTTGTAAGTCATCGAAGAAATAATTATGTCTACATATGGATATTTTCATAGATTAAATCTAATTAGAACAGTCGGCACTCATTATTCGGTAATGTCCAATTTGACACTCCAAACATTTGTCAAGCGTGACATTGTGTTATTAAAAGCTATGCTCTCCTTTGGGATAAGAGCCTGATTATAACGTATATGTAAATTACATGTTAATTGAAACCGTAGAATTTACATACTAATGTAATTTGTCATACAAACACTACATTTCATGGTGTCTTATTATAATGTGAGTCATGGTGAATGTTACAAATATATAAAAAAAGTATCTGAATACGGTTACGGATATAAAAGTGTAAGGTATATTTATCTATATTCAGGTTGATTTCGGATACAGTTACGAATAGGAAATTATTTCGGATTATCCATTGCTGTTGGTTACAGATATTGTTTATAAGTAATCTTAAATCTAAAGTACAAATAGATTAATAATATGGTGTTATACATACTTATGTACCTGTGATTATAACGATATAATGGTAACAATCCTATTGTGCGTGCTCTTAGGTTAAGACCTGTCAAACAGCGTTTTCGATTGTAAAAATAACTAGGTATATAGGAGTATGACTATATTGCCATGATGACAAATGACATAATATCATTTTAAAACAAACATATTTTACGTTGGAATTTTTTAAGAATGGTACAATAGAATTTGCTTGTAACTTGCCCAAGGACGCCAAAGAAAGTAATTTTGAATACTTTGTATGAAAACAACGCCATATCGTCAGAAATCTTAATTATTTCGTCCACCCGGCTCTAGTAACCATGCGAGCACTTTTATTTAGTACTAGCTGACCCGACAGACTTCGTCCTGTCAAAAAGATTTGTAATGTGGCAGTTTTTTTGCCTACGTATTTAAAAAAATTCTCCTGAACAGAACCGTCACCCTGGTGATAGGGCGTTGTGAATAAAAAATAATTAAATAAAACATATATAAGGATTTAAAAGTAAGTAATTGCTTTATTGTTAATCATGTGAATCATAATTATTATTGCAATGTATTAATAGTAATAGTATTAAATATAGAAAAAAGAGATTTTTATGATCATAAAAACACATTACACACAACAGCATTATAAGAGTAAACTATTCGAATTAAAAAAATATATAAACATGCTCAAGGAAAAATGCTGGAAGAATCCATCTACCTGTACCCCGGAATGGGACTCGAACCCATTCGCGATCCAGGGACTGCTCTAACCAATGAGCTATCTAGGACCCAACAGCTTTTCTACTACAGAGCGTATTTTCATCAATGTTCCGGCAATACATATAATGACGTGGAAACTGATGCATTTTATCTCGCGTGCCGAAACTAATACAAAAGAAACGCGAGTTTCGGAACGCGACATTAAACTCCTCCAACTATGTATTCTGTGCTCCAACGCACACACGCACATTGTTTTGATAGATATGATCTTTGACGTTAGGAACACACCTACATTGCTTAGACAACAGTGAGTGCTTGTAATTTAATATGAACTTTATACCATAGCAATAAAGCTCAAATTGACTACGTTTTAGTTACAAATCATTTGTATGGGAAAAAGAAAAGGGCTATTTTTAGGGTTTTTCCAGCAATAATTCTAATTTTTCTCGCCGTAAAAACCATCCTTGAACTTCAACGAACATTTTAAAAAAAGATTTGGCCAAATTGGTCGAGGCGTTGTTGAGTTATGCGCTTACCAACACATTTTGCGATTCATTTTTATATATATAGATTACAACCAGTATGATAAGTAGGTACATATAGAATCGATCATATTTCCTATCCACCTCAAAGGTATAATTTTATTTCATTAATGAAATAAATTCAGTCCTTTATAATAATAACTCCATATCAACAATTATTTACAATAAGTAAGTGATCGTCGACCTTCGTGGGCGAGTTGTTCGTACCGTTTCAGAGTGTCCCATCTCTAAGGTCTCGGATTCAATTTCCGATCGGATCAGTAAAGTGATTTTTTTATATTATTTCGGAATGTTACTATGAAACAAGAGTAAATAAACTAAAAGAGGGTAATTTCAATTAAATAATTTATTTACAATAAATAAAAAAAAATAAGATGGGTATGAGGTGAGTGGTGAAGTGAGCAGTGAAAAGTGATAGGTGTCAGTGGTGTAGGTGGTCAGGTGAAGGGGGCGTGGGTCAGTGACGAAGTTCCGTTGGCGATGTTGAGGAGCTTCCAGGAATAGGTCGATGTCAGCTCAAGGTATAGTCTTGAGGGACGTCTGGATCCGGAGCGTAAGTCGGCGAGGTGTAGTTTCTTGATGCGTGGAACGAGTGATTTTCAGGCAGCCCAGAACTAAAGCAGCTCGGGTCTTAAGGTGGAGACTCGTAGACCAGAAGAGGATAATTTAGTTCGAGTTTGTTAGTGGTAGAGTAGCGAAGGAGATTTCGTAAAGTATAGATTTGATGACGTCTAACTAAAGCCAAAATGGTGTCAAGTGACTTTAAGACCGTAACTTTGAAGAATTGCCGGGGCAGTCGACCCCGGGAAATAGGCCTTTTAAGAATTTAGGTAGCTCCGTAGGAGCTCAAATAGCTAACTTAGGCAACTGTTGCCGTTGAAGTGATGCAGAACTACAGAGACAAGGCTTTATATACTTGAGGGCGAGCTCAAATTTGGAAGTAAATTATTTCAATTTAGAACCCTTAAAATTCAAAAGCTATAGATTTTCAACACCTAAAAGTGACAAACAGTGATGTGACAAAAGTGACAAATTTTCATGAAGAGTATCAAATATAAGCATGATTTATAGTTTAAATGAATTTATGAGATCATCGCCATCTTTCATTCATTTCATTTTCATTTTACGTGTAGTTATTTATTCACTTGACATTGGCATAATTGTGCGAAATGCGCAGAAAAGCCATTTATAAAAGAAGATGACGAAAAAAATATAACCATGACAACGAAGAAAAACTTTGATGTCAAATCTGTTAAAACAATTAAAAATTGTGTATTTAATATCATTACAAATAGTAAAACGTTAAACTAAGAAAGCTGCAGGTAAGGGTTTACAATAGTGTAAATAGGCAAAAACATAGGATGAAAGTTCGTAGAGATTTGGATAAGTTTGTATTACAGAATTTTAATGATTACAGGTATAAAATTGAAGGTCCATAGTCATAAAATGGACAAAGTGAAGAATATAAATGGAATAAAACTAAAATGATGATCGATATGAACATAATTAGTGAAATGCAACCAAGGAATGATAAACATACGAATGGTTAGTTACGACAATGTGTAGCTAGGGCAGATGTCCCGGTTTTGGTCATTTTAATATTATGATATGGTTTTGAGAGGTGCGAGAAAGTGAACTTTGACACGTGATAGCTGTCAACGATATTAGCTTTGCCGTAATGCAACATTTTAAAAACCGTCCCGGGTAAAGAAAATTATTTGACTTTGCATTAGTTTTAACGCCTTGAAAAAGGTTGATGACTAATTTTTGTTTGTTTGTCCGTCAGGTAGAGAGTTAAAAAATATTAAACACGTATTTTTTTCGTAATCTTAGAATTACGGCGTTACATTGAGTTGAAATTTCGCATGACGTCACGTTAGAGTACGTTTTTTACTCAACTGTGACGTAGCGAGCCCCCACTCCCCAACTTTAATGCCTATACTATTTATTATATCTATACTATTTCTTGTTAAATTGAAGTAAAAAGAAATAAGTATCTTATATTTTTCTATTATCTTACTGACGGACTAAATAGAATTGCATTTTTTTTACCCAGTCATCATCCCTAATGGCAAGATATTGAGATTCCGAATCTGTGCAATATATTATTTTATATTTATTTACTGGGATCAAAGAAATACGAACCGTAAATATAATTATTTATTGTCTTTGTGTTTTTTTTTTATTAAATATATATTTTCAGCAATTAGTTATATTTACCGTAGTTTCAGATTTTTATTTAGTTCTCAAAGAAATCTTAAATTAATAATGGACTCACTGGCTAAAACGTTATTAATGTAGCATTTTAATTAAGTTTATAAAAATTGTACTTTACGTGGATGTTTATTACTGAATAGATTAATTTTGATATTTCATATCGATACTTATTGGATCAGTCTTTATCTATAGCTCGATATGTGTTTTAGTATTATTAGTTTTAAATATTTTTTTCAATAATACACACCTCTATAACGATGCTTATAAAAGTATCTAAGTATTTTATTTTAACAATATTTTTTACTATAATCAATGCTGATAAACCCATAGTGGATACAACACATGGAAAAATACAAGGAAAAACCCTACAAACTTTACTGAAAAGAATGGACTATTATGGATTCATGGGAATCCCTTTTGCAAAACCTCCTATAAAAGATTTGAGGTTCTTGGTAAGTAAATTTTATTTTTTACCCTAGGCTATATCTAGAGAATAACATATATATTGTTTAATAAAATTTTGGATTATTTTATGTTTTGAAAATGTGTTCCAGACGTCTATATTTCACTGATTTTCAATTTTTTACCACCATAATTGAAATAACTAGCGCATAAGAGTTATCAGCTAGTTACACAAACATCTATTAATACTTTCATTAGTTTAAAGTGACATTACCCATACAAATTTGACGTTCATTAGAGCTTAAAGGCGTCATTACACCTAAATGGACGTTTGTGCAACTGACCGAATATCTTATAAACAAAGTATTGTTAGACAAATATTAAGAAGGTTTGGTGTCGGAGTAAATTTGCATACATATATGAACATTATGAATAGTCAAAATTCGTATTGTTAAACAGAGAAGAAAACTACCTTTTAGAAGGTAATATTACTCCTGCATTACTCTCGTATTAGTTTCTATTTATTCGTAAGAAATTTGACTAATACAAAGTGCAATCTTAGTGTAGGTAAATTTACTCTGTCGTTAAACTTGATTTATTAAAAACACTGGCGATATAAAAAAATATAAACATACATTTTTATTTTTACAGCCACCTCAACCTATTGAGCCATGGGATCACTTACTAATCGCTACAAAAGAAAAACAAGCATGCATTCAATTCAACAATAATGTACTGAAGGGTCAACCTCTAGGACAATATGGCTCCGAAGATTGCCTCTACCTTGACATATTCACCCCGAAAACGGACGAAAAAAAGCGCGCGGTCATCGTTTTCCTTTACAATGAACATTTTATGGGCTCTTATAACAAAACAAAGGATTATTCACCAGACTTTTTTATTGAAGAAGACGTAATTATTGTCACAGTTAGCCATAGATTGTCTGTGTTTGGTTTTTTATCATTAGAGGACGATATTGTGCCCGGTAACGCTGGTTTAAAAGATATTGTCACTGCATTAGAATGGACAAAGAACAATATTTATAAATTCGGAGGTGACCCAGATAAAATTACATTAATGGGGTGCCAAGGTGGTGCAGTAGCTGTAGACCTATTAATCCACTCCAAATCCAAACGTTTGTTTCACTCCGCAATTTTACAAAGTGAAACTTCGTGGAGTTCCATTTATTTACAAGATAACGTCCGAGAACGAGCAATAAAATTAAGCGAATTGCTAGACTGGAAATCTAATAGTAATTCTATATTACTGAAATCCCTAAACGAAGTTCCGGTTTCAAATATATTATTAAAAGTGCATCACGCAAACACGCAGGATTACTTCAAAGAGAATCAAAGGAGTTCAGTAACGTTCAGTCCTATTGTGGAAAAGCAACCCGATGGGCTTATAACAGGATATCCCGAAGATAGTTCAGAAAAAATAGACATCCCCATAATGATTGGATTGAATTCTCGAGAGGGATTACACCCGGCAGTAGAATATCTTCTCGAGCCGCGTTACCTTAGTTTTGTCGAAAAGGACTTCCCTTTCTTAATTCCTATCAGAACAGGGTTTAGGTTCAACCCATTACATGATAGTTTTTATGAAGCAGTCGACGAAATAAAGAAATTTTATTATAAGAAAGGAAAAGTTACAGTTCGTAGCGTTAATGATCATATTACATATTTAGGTGATGCATTGGTAGGATATGCAGTGGATCGAGCGGTGAAATTTTATGCGGAGCGAACGTCGAACTCATTATTTTATTATTACTTTGACTACTATAGTAATTTGAATGAAAATAAAAACAATCTTATGAAACTGTCGACTTTGTCAGAGGGTACGTGGGGGGCAGCTGCAGGAGATGAACTTTGTTATTTATTTTACTGTCCCGATTTGAAACAACAATATTTGAAAAACAACCAATCAATGTCTGAAGAATTTATTATACAAAGAAAATTAATCAAATTGTGGACTAACTTTGCGAAATACGGGTGCGTAATTGAAGTTATCATTATAATTTTAGTAACAATGTTTTGAATTATTATAAGTATTTGAAGATATAAATTAATTATATAATATTTTTTTATGTTACAGGAATCCCACGCCAGTCGGTGATGCAACTCTCGAAGGCTTGAACTGGCCGGTTTACAACAAAAATACGAAGAAGTATCTGAATGTAGGAAAGCTGATAGAAGTGAAATCTGAATTACTCAAAGAGAGGTTTTCATTCTGGGATGAGTTCTTGATAAAATGGGAAAAGGAAGTCAGGAACATACAAATTTTAAGAGCAATAGATGACGAATTGTGACAAGTTATTTTTTTAACAAATTCATTACTATTTAAGTTTTTAAATACATATATTTGATAAATTTTGTATTCACAGTATCATATGTATATCTATTATTATTTGCCTTAAGAAAAATAGTTAAATCATCCACCAGTCTCAGATTATAGAAGACTGAATTCGACTTGTGAATTGTTTTAAGCTTTAAATAAAAGTATTTAACACGAAAGGATCTTACTATTTACAAATCCGAATTATTACTACTTTTAACGATTAACAATAACATTATTTAATGAAATCACGTAGTCTCTCATTAATTTATAGAGTACTTTGATAGTCTTGATAGTCATAACTTTTCCTCACTATCAAAATGAACGATTTTTGAAATGTAAATAGAGTAAATAATGACGACAAAGGACTAGTTTAATCTCGCCTTTACAGTTTTCTCTATGATCGAATTTTGAAATGTTTCTAAAATTATAATCTTTATCCTGACGCCGTATCTGCTGCCTGCGGGGTAGGCAAAACTTATACTTAACTAGACGTTCTCTCGCGACTTCACACGCATTATTTATAGCCTATATCAACCCTGTTTGATGTAGCTACCCGTAGGTGAAAGAATTATAAAAATCGATTCAGTAATTTCGGAGCGTCTTCAATGCAATGACAAAAAAAATCATTCCTCTTTATATCTTCTATTTTTTATAATTCTATACGAATATCTTTATAGTATTATATATATATATATATATTTATATATTTATAAAAAAAATCAAATCAATCTAAAAATAATTATCTAATTTTTCCGATTACAAATATATTTGAGGAAAGTGAGGTCTTACAAAATATAAAGTTATAGCAAAAATTTAATCTAGTTATTAAATAATGAAAGCGATGAAATTGACCAAAATCTAAAAAAAAACAAAAGAATAAATTAGTAGTTTCATTCATCGTTCCAATTTACACGACAGTGGCCACAGTTTTTATACCTATAATAAATTAATACATAATCATTGTCACTTGTAGATAAAGGTAAGAACCCATTAGATTAGCTTGATGATTAGTAAAATTACACGTCAGTTGTGTTTCAACATTATTGTCCAAATAAATAAATGTATAAACCGATTCATACTCTATCGAAATGGACGTTTTAAAATTTTCTGGTGTTATAGTTTACTTATTAACTTTAGTACACGGAGAATTAATAGTGGAAACGAGTACAGGCAAGGTCAGAGGTGTAGAAGTATCGTCTATTATAAAAAATGAAAAATTCTATTCATTCTTCAGTATACCATACGCCGAACCACCGACAGGTGCTAACAGATTTATGGTAAGTTTATTAACATTTTCCTACATAAATTTTGCTTATTAATACAAATAAGAAACAAATGTTTGTAAAATAATTACTCATAAAACATTTTGTTTAACATGATTCATGACATAGTAAATCTTTTGACTAAATAATAATATGTTTTTTTGGTTTTCTAGGATATACTTTATTAATGTGTATCTCTTTATTCGAATCATTAAACTACGTTTAAGTCTGAACAGTGCATATTCGTCTATGGATAATACAGAATAAATATACAATAACTAATAGTTTTGAATTTAAATTTCAGGCACCAAAACCGCACTCTGGTTGGGAGGACATTTTGGAAAATAAGAAAGAAAAAAAGCCGTGCGCACATTTGAACTTGCCTTACAGACCTATAAAAAACTATGGTTTCTCGGGAAGTGAAGATTGTCTTTTCCTTAGTGTGCACACCCCGAGGTTACCGACGAATAATGAATTGAAAATGCCTGTCATCGTTTTTCTATATAACGAAAACTTCCAAGTTGCCTATAATGCGTCTAAAGAATACGGTCCGGACTTTTTTATGAAAGAAGAGGTCATTATAGTGACTCTCCAACACAGACTTGGAGCTCTAGGATTTTTATCTTTCAATGATAACTTGTTGCCTGGTAACAACGGATTAAGAGATGTTCTACTGGCCCTTAAATGGATTCAAACAAACATTCACAAATTTGGTGGAGACCCACAGAAAATAACTTTAATGGGATCTGAAGGCGGAGCTGTCATTGTTGACTTATTGTTGCATTCCCCAAAAGCAAAGGGTTTATTTAGGGCTGCCATAATGCAGAGTGAAACTTCGTGGAATAGTTTATATTTGCACTCTAACAAGCGGGAGAGAGCAATTGCTCTATCAGAAGCTATCGATGAACACGCAACAACAAGCTCCTTTTTGCTCAAAAGATTATCTCACGTATCAGCTGACAAAATAAGTCAGGGCGAAAGAGCTTCCGTTCATGCAGACGAAGCTCGGACATATCAACGAGGAGTCATTCCATTCGGTCCTGTTGTAGAACATGATCATCCTGATGCTATAATTACAGAATATCCAGAGAACAAAGCTATTGATATTGATATACCAATACTGATTGGATATAACTCCCGAGAAAGTATTGAAAGCTGCTACCACTTTTTAAAAAAGCCAACATTTCTTACTTATGCCGATAGAGATTTACTTTTCCTCTTTCCATACAGAGTTAATCACTATTTCGAAATGAACTCACAGGTATATATGAAAGCTCAAGAAGAAATAAAAAACCACTATTTCGATGAGGGCTATATTAAAATCAGTAAGCCAGGGGAATACATAACCTATATTCAAGATTTATTAGTATTTTATCCTTTGGATTATGCGGTGCGTAAATATATTAACGAAAGTATGTCGTCGGTATATTACTATACATTTGACTTCAGTGGCGACTTTAATTTAAGAAAACAAATAAATTTGAAAGAAGCAGTAACTATAGACGGTACTTGGGGTGCTGCGCCCGGTGACGAACTCTGCTATCTGTTCGTATGTAAAGCACTCAAAAAATCTTACAAGAAAGCAATGGAGGACCCTAATTCAGAAGAAATGAAAGTAATAAGTAATATGGTCAGATTATGGAGTAATTTTGCGAAAACTGGGTAATTTATATTTTAACTGTCATTATTAATAAATTTTAAGTATTTTGTAGTGGAACTTTAAAAATATCGTTCCAGGAGAGATAAATAAATAAAATAAAAAATAAAATAATTCAACTACATAAGTCACACTATTGTGTAGTTAATTTAAATTATCTTTAAGTAATAATTAACTAGCCGTTTTAAGGCGACGTAAATTATAGCCTATGTTACCCGCGTATGATATAGCTTCCCATAGCTGTAAGAATTTTTAAAATCAGTCCATAAGTTTCGGTGCCTATATAATGCAAAAGAAAGATGAACAAACGAACAATGTTTCTTATTAAAGTATAGAATAAATTTAAAATAAAAGAATTTAATTTATAATTACAATAATTATTTTTTTGCAGAAACCCTACTCCGCCTGGTGATGAGATACAATGGAAACCAGCAACTAAAGAAAACAAAGAATGTCTCGTCATCAACGATGAGCCAGAATTGAAAACTAGACTATACGACGAAACAGTCACCTTCTGGGACAATTTCTTGGAGAAATATTCGAAGTTAGCTAAGGACGGTGTTATCAAAGATCTAAAAGATGAATTATAATTTTTTTTATTACTAAATTATAATTTAAATACTCAGCAATCAAACCAAACTGTACGTTTAAAGTGAACGTCCATATGTCAGCAGCACGCAACGCATTATTTAAAAATAAATCTTTGGCATTATCAGCATAATTCCGACGTCAAAACTGACAGTCGCATTTTTCATAGAAGCATCTATGATAAATGAGACTGCAGTGAACGTATGACACCCACAAATCAGTGCAACGGGATCTTTTAAAAATGCCTTTGACGTCATCGGCCTAATTCCGACGTCAAAACTACCAATCGCATTTTTCATAGATGCGTTTATGAAAAATACGACCATAATGAACGAGCACCTTAGTGATAAGTAAATAAGTAAATTTAATGACTGAAGTTTTCGGTTGAAGAAAATATGTTAGAGTTATCTAAATGTATTCTTTAAAATATTAGGGAAGAAAACAATAATGTAATGACAAAATAAATTAAGTTTAATATTTAATAAAGAATATTTTATATTTATCCACCGCTTTCTTTTTCTTTAAAACAACCTGGCGAAACTTATCAGAGTCAATAGAGAGATGAATTATTAATAGGCAAAATATATTGAAACGCCACGTTCCCAAAATATTAGTAGGTTGTATGAAATAATATGATGCCACATTTGAAGCACCGACTTTGATAACGTCCAATGCGGAAACCTTTAGATTACCAATAAAGAATTATTATTATTTATTAATAACTATTGCTCTTGCATAAATCGTTTTGAGACCATCCCAATAAGTAAACAGAATTTTACTCGTGTTGAGGGTGCTTCATAGATTGACATTTAAGCAATTCATTAAAATTAATATACTTGATTTCTTTTTCTTCTATCTTTCCTAGCTCTTTTTTTTGTGTTTATTATAGTGTGTCTTAGTTGTGTGTAGGTACGCATGTATATATGTATCATTATTAGTAACTGTCTGTTGTTGTATCTAGAAATGAAATGTTTACATAAAAGTGTTTATGTTTCATCATAATTCTGGGTTTTTGAGTATTAATATGTACATACATATTAATAAGACGTGAAATGTTAAATTCAATTGGAACTGTTTGATGACCCCGTGTAGCTCTGTTCCGAAAATATTCGCAGCGTACTCTACATTTTTCGTATTTCATTGTTTATGCAAAATTTATCAATAATTATGTTATACTATGATTGTGTTAATATTTTCTAGTTGATCTCAAGAAGCGCCGTTCTGAAGAAATAAGAATAATATACAACAAATTTCTTGAATTTCCATAATATTCTAAATTTACTTGTCCTCTATGCAATTCACCAACAACATAACACTTATTTTAAACAAAATGGGTATGAAGATGATTCCAATTATGTATATCTAATTACCAAAAAGGTGAAAAAGAACAATGATCTGTTCTCTCTAATAATGTGCCATAAATTCGTGTGAAACAATTTTCCTATACAGTACCGGATCCAGTTGTTCACACTTCTAAAAATAATATTTGCTTGGTTAGTTGAAAAAGATTAACATTATCTTTACTATGAGATATCATTATTTATAATATAGAATTAAGAATATGTTTCCTATCAGTATCAGCTTGGAATAGAACATACGTTTTTTACCCGACTGCGCGACGCAAAGGAGGGTAATGTGTTTATCAATCTATGTATGTATGTTTGTTTCTACGTGGCCTTCTACAGACCAAATGCGTCGTCCGATTTTGATGATTCTTACGTCAATCGATTCGTCTTAACCTTGCGAGTGTCACTAAAGACATGACAGTAATCAAAATTCACCACAGCGACAACCAGGCGCAATATTATCAAAATGAAAAATAAAAATCGATGAACTATGTCAAGTGTGATGTCGTTGAATAGGTATTTTAAAATCATCTTTAGGTTCCTTTTATCATTTTTCATTTTAAATAATAGTTTAGGATAAATAACGATTTAAAGTTGTTTAACAAAACATTCTCGCTAATTTTCTTACTTATTGATTTAAGTTTTTATTTTAAGTATAAACGATATACAAACAAAAAAAAACAGTGAAAAAGCATGAAGAAAAAATATTTTTGGTAAATAAATAAAGCATATGTAGCTTTGAGTCGAGTTAGGTCTCTAGAGGGACTAATCATCAGTGGTTTAGATCATCGCAAGTTACTTAATAATACGCTATTAACTCCCTCAATGCAATGACTAGATTACGAAATTTACCATCTAATAACGAAGTCAACGAATCGTAACTAAAAAGTATAAATTAAAAATAAATAATTTAAAGACACAAAAAACCCGACTTTTATTTAAGTTAATTTTTTACCATTCAAATTCCCAAGGGGTCCCGACTATGAGTTGTTCTGTTCTGTATTACTTAACAGAATTCTAAAATACTGGGCTTGTTTCTTTCTTTTTAATTTTTATTGAAGTTAATTTCTTATGTATTTTTTAAAATTTGTTTTTACGCAGTCGGGTTTTTTGTTTTTTAACAAAAGTAATTATAAAAGAAAAACATTTAAAAAAATTTGACTTGTTAAAACTTTTTCCTGCTGAAGAAACATTTCCTCATTATATTACAAACAAAATTTTACATGGGTTATTAAAAAACGGCTGTACTGGTGGTAAAAAAGTGCAATTCTATTTAGTCCGTCAGCCAGATAATAGAAAAACATTAGATACGTTTTTTTTTATACTTCAATTTAACGAGAAATAGCTTAGATAATAGGCATTAAAGTTGAGGAGTGGGGGCTCGCTATGTCACAGTTTTGTAGAAAACATACCATAATGTGACGTCATGCGAAATTTCAATTCCATGTATCGCCGTAATTTTATGATTACGAAAAAAATAAAAAAGTACGTGCTTAAAATTTTTTAACACTCTACCTGACGGACAAACAAATAAAAATTAGTCGTCATCCCTATTGCACGTATGAAAAAAAAACGTTTTTTACTTTATTAATTATAATGATTGGTATCACTAAAAGTTAAGGACTTTCCCGAAGCATTAAGTAAGATTCTACTAATCAGTATTTTATTTTTACCTCTTTAAATTATCAATGGACAGATAGTAAACTTAATCTTATATGTACGTGTACTTTTATAACTGTTATCTCTTTATTTAATTTGTCATATCATACGTATATAGAGAAGGTAATGATTAAGTAGTGCAATGTATTAGCAAATGTTATAAAAAAATGTTTTTGTTTATAAAATACGCAACAATTTATCTAACATTCATTTCATTGAATGAATGCTATTGTGAAAATGTAAAAGTAAAATTAAAACAAGGTGTTTTGTACGGTAAAACAGAAAAAACATACTTAAAAGAGGGAAGCTATTACACTTTCAAGGGAATTCCTTACGCAGAAGCACCTGTTGGTGAATTAAGGTTTAAGGTAAATTATAATAAAGTTATTTGTAAATAAGGTATTCGGAATAATTGCTTTGTAGTTCTTTATTTAGTTTATTTACGAAAATCTTAATTTCAAGATGACATCAATTTTAAATTTATTGGATCTATTGAACCTATTTGATTATTAGTACATATCTTTACACATTGTATTGTCAACATTACAATAATTTATTGATAGTGTTTTCCATCTCTTACAGCCACCAAAACCACATATTGGATGGAATGGAACCTACGAAGCTTATACTAATAAACCTACATGTGTCCAACACAATACTAAGATGCGTAATGGCGAGACTTACGGTATATCTGGTTCCGAAGATTGTCTATACATCAGCGTCTTCACACCAAACTTAGAAGGATCTGCTGCTGTTATGGTGTTCGATTATCACGACAATTTCCGTACAGGATACAACGGTACTAAAAAATATTCTCCAGAAATATTTGCTGAAGAAAATGTTATAGTTGTAACGATTAGTTATCGTCTCAGTATTTTGGGATATTTAACTACAGAAGACGGTGTGATACCCGCTAATAATGGTCTGAAAGATTATTTATTGGGTCTTAAGTGGGTAAAAGAGAACATAAAAAGCTTTGGAGGTGATCCAAATCGCATCACTTTAATGGGTAGCAAGGGAGGTGGCACTGTTGCTAACATTATGCTTTATTCGAAACAGGCATCTGGTCTTTTTAATGCAGTAACTATTCAAAGTGGTACAAGTTATGAAGCTATATATTTTCCAGAAAATGCAAAACAGTTTGCCCTCAAATTAGCGGAGCTTGTTGGTGTAACTTCTAGTGATAGTCAAACTTTGCTTGAAGAGCTTCAAAAGATTGATGTTGTTTCTCTATATGATAAAGAAAGTGATGTTTTGACATCAAATCTGGATTTTTATGAAAAGTATCAGAGGAGTGTGTTTCCTTTCGCACCAATCATTGAGCCTGAACATCCAGACGCCATTTTAACTACGATGCCAGAAAATGGTAAAATTATTAATGATGTTCCAGTTTTGATCGGATTTAATTCAAGAGAGGGCTTAGACCACACCTCATACATATTATTCGAACCAAAAATACTGTCAAGTATTAAAGATTTCTTTGTTCATTTTCCAATCAGAACTAACTTCAGGTTTGATGTAAACAATACTGCATTCGTAGATTACAAGGAGGATATAAGGAAATTTTACTTGACAGGTGGATATTTACATTACAATAATTTGTTGGAGTATGCTATATACGTGGGTGATACGTTGCAAAATTATGCTATTAATTATGCTGCTAGGAAACTTGCTAACGAATTAAATTCACCTACGTATTACTATATGTTTGACTTTTACGGATCTTTCAATGAAAACATGCTGTTTTTGGCGACAAACATACATTGGGGTATAGAAAATTGGGGAGCGACTGTTGCGGACGAACTCTGCTACTTACATGTTTGTAATCGCATCAGGAAGAACTATAACTACTTTAAAGGATTAGTGGCTACACAAAATGAGCTAAAGGTTTTAAAGAAAATGGTACGTTTATGGACGAACTTTGCTAAAACAGGGTGAGATGCATTCTTCTCGTATTATGCGTTTAATTTTGTTATTTTCTGTGGTTACGTTAATAAAACATGATAGCTTTTAACTTTGAATGTAAAGTTGAACAATGAATGGTGATGACATTATTATCACTTTATATACGTACAAAAAACATATGAACTTAACGAATTCAATCATAATTCCAGTTTTTTACGGTTATATGAAACGATAGAATGCCTAACAAAGATGAAATTGAGTTCTAATTTATTTTTCAACTTAAACTGCCCATTTTTTTCCCATTACTTTTACTAAAGAAAATAGGAGATAATCGAAAAGTAACTAATGTATCTAAATATTCGTTTCTGATTCCAGGAATCCAACACCTAGTAAAAACGATGATGTCTTGAAGAGGCTTTCCTGGCAACCAATAGAAAAGGGAAACGCAGATCTCAAGTATCTTCATATCACTAAAAACTTTCGTATGGAATTGAATCCTTTAGGTGCAAGGGAAAAATTTTGGGATGAAACTTTAAAGAAATATGGCAATATGGCTGTCGAAGGGGTAGCACAAAAGGTGAAAGAAGTACATGAAGAATTATAATAGGAATTAAAAAAGTTTCATAATTTAAAGTGTTTCGTATTTCAAATATATAATAAAATAAAAAAGTTTAAAGTGCGCTGAAAATTTAATAGAAAATGAGAAATCTCATATTTGAAAAGCTTCGAATTCATACTGGGTCAATATGAAAAACAATTTAAAGTAAAAAAAGTTACTAATTAGCTTAATTCTCTCTCATATTCGTGTGATTATGTAAAGTGTCTTTTACTATACTGGAAATCGATAAATATATCAGTCACATTGAAATCGAGGGTTTTGATTGAGAATTTTTATTATAATCGTATTGGTTTACGATAAAGCAATTAAAAATTGTTTTATAAATTTCATTTCGCGGAAAGTGCTATCCTTTAGCTGCTCGCAATCAAATAAGTTGCTATTGATACGCCATTGACCCTCTGTAATTAAGTTAAAAATAGCAGAATTGAGTCCCTGGACATCCCAACTAAGTAATTAAGTTGTTCAACTCAAAGTGTTAGCATAGTTTGGTATTCAAATATTGAAGATGCTAGCTGTTTACCTTAGAATTTAAGACGAAAATGTTTATTGCCTAGATCAGGGACATAATTTGGTACTTCCTATAAAATATGTACCTACAACTCCCTATCAACGAAATTCACAATAATTATCTAATAATTAATTTGAAATACAATTATAATATCATTAATTATTGGATTACAATTATAATATTAACGTTTCTAAATATTATATAGGGTAAAGATTTAAGTGTCTGTATTGGCACTGGAGTCCTAACAGACTTTAACAATTATTAAAGTCTGTTATATTCAACAATTTAAATATTCAATGTAACAATTTACGTTGAATATATTCAATGCGATTTTTCAATCGTACATTTTAACGTCAATTTATTAAAATATTTATAAAAGAAAATATTTTTTTTTTACACTAATTTTACTTCACTAGCGCCATCTTATTCTCAATGTTTGAAACTTTAAGCTCTGAAACGAGTTCCGTAAACCGTAATGACATTTCATTTTGATACGCCTGCCGCGTAGTGTAACCTTTCAGATTGTGATACACTTTATCAAATATAGATGGCGACAAAACATAGACTTCTTAGGGGTATCATGTAGCTCCAAAAATGAGTGATTTTTTTAGGTTTTCATGTCCTAAGAGAAGAACGGGACCCTATTACTTAGACTCCACTGTCCGTCCGTCTATCTGCCTGTCTGTCCATCCTGTCCGTGTCACCAGGTCTATGTCACCAGGCTGTATCTCATTGATGATCCGTGATAGTTAGATAGTTGACATTCACAGTTAATGATAAAAAAAAAAACAAAAAATATTTACAGAGGATCGCATAAAACAAATATGTATTTTGCGTTTTTTCATAGATAATGGTACAGAACCCATAGTGCGCGAGTCCGACCGTATTTATTTAGTTTGAAATCAGAGATAATAAACTAAATAAGTAGTAGGTATCATCGGATTAAAAGGTGCGCATATTTGATTCTGGCGCTTGAAGCTGCCGCATCACGCTTGCTTCGTTCGTTCACCCTTTCTTTAATCCCAATACTGGAGCAAACATCTGGAAATGCAGCAGCAACTCTAAAAGACCTATTTTCTTTGATCCCTCTAACTTATGTCCAGATTCAAGTTAAGAAGGATACACAAGACTAGTAGTCGAAATCTATAGAGGTATAAAGTATTGTTAATCGGTAATAATCCAATAATATTTGGCACTTAGATCAGTTATCAAATACAGACTGTGTACATATTTTTTAGATATTTTTTGTTTGTGAAAATCTTTGCTTTGTATACTACAGTTTTGTAGATAACCATATTAAGTAACAGGAAACCATTTAATTATTACTCACTTCCATTACTTAACCGCAGATATTTTATATACCCGCAAATCAATTTTATCCTTCATTGATATTAGGTACTAACAATAGCACGAGAGTTCATGACAAAAATGTGCAAGACTTATCTATCAACTCATATGTCAATACGTTTAAATACTAATGGTTTGGTGGCAGCGGTTTAAAGAAATTAATTAATGAAATAAAAGTGTTTCGTTAGAAATAAAAATGAGCGTGAAATATAATATCGAATGTAGAATCAACGACTCACACTGCTTAATTTGTGTAATGCGGTTACTCAGCAGGTCTCATAAATTGGCGTGAAAATCAGCTAATGAAAAGAGTTAAGTGATATTGAAAATTAATTGTTAAATTGTTAATAGTTTAGAAAAAATACTCAGACTTTCACCACTATTAAATAAATGGCTATTTTTACAGAACAACATAACAGGTTTTCCATATCCTAACTCCACACTCGGTAGGTACTGAATGATCAGTCTTAATACTCCCACATACTGAACTATCAACAGTTAGAAAACTCTTGCACATTTTTGCAACGAGCTCTCCATCTAGCAAGGTGCACGTAATGATTCGTTAACCTCGTGCCTCTTATATAACTACATGTAACCAGGTACTTGTCCTGTCATAGTATAGTTAACTAGTTGCACAGGTTCAAGTTAATGCTCCACTTACTTTATAAAATGCATCTTAATCTTGTGAACAAGACCTACTTTTCGCAAGGTTTCAATTAAAATATTTACCATTAAAAAAAACTGGTCAAGTGCGAGTCGGACTCAGTTCCGTGCCGGAAACTTGTAAAAAATCACGTTGTATGGGTGCTAAATATTAATTTCATTTTTTTTATTTGTTGTTATGCAAGCAACAGATATAGATACATCATTAAATTCGTTCGGAAACGAGTGTCTTACTATCACTGTTCATGAGAGGTAAGTACAACCTGGTGACAGGCGGACGAACACTGGATTCTTAGTAATAGAGTCCCGATTTGTGGCTGTTCCAAAAAAATTAAAAAATGTCGTAATTATTGAAAAGATATCCATGTCCATGATAAATATATAAGCATCATCTATCATGAACATAGATATTAATTTTTCCGACAAGATTCAACGGACATCGATGTTTCAAGGTCCTCTGAAGAGAAAAGCGTATCTAATAGAAGAAACTATAAAGCAAGAAATTAGTCAAATACCCAATATAAATTTATTCAAAGACAAGTTGTTAAATTCTTTCATTAGGATTTAACTATTCACTTTTAATTCGATATAAAAAAAATATCATAAATGGGTATTTCTATGATTTCGTGCAAATCGCATGTCCGTGAATTTTTTGGCAAATCTTATCACTCTAAAAGCCTAAAAATATTTTTAATATATAAATAGGTTGTTTATCTATTTCTGCCACATAGAATTAAAGTTAATCGTGCCGAATTACTAACTGAAAATAATATTTTAGTTGCTTAAATTTCATTACCTTCAGCGTCCTTTTTGTGACGAGTTAGAAAAACATTTTTTATTAATTATACATCGAGGTTTTTGTTGCTTCTTATTACTTGAAATACCTCAAGTATAGAATAAGGAATTTAAATAATGAAGCACACGTTGTAATAATGTTAATATATAAACACACTGTGATAAAAACAATTTGTCCGAAAAAATATTCCATTACCTTCAGCCTAGTTTGAAATATCAAAAATCATACTGTATATGCATTTTACCTGGATGGCGCATCTACCTCCCGCCGTTCACTTGCCAGCCCGTCGGCCAGCAATGACGAACGGGGCAGGGCGTGTGTAAATTTTGACGCTACTGCTAAAAAAGATCGGCAAGTACGTGCTTCAACCAGTTTTGATTTCATTACCTACAGCGGATTGTTCATGTAAGTAGTTATAGTTTTTTTATGCTTTTGGTCTGGAAGCATTTGTTATTTGTATATTCATATTTCTTATTATTATTAAGTACGTAAATCTATTAATTACCGAGCAAGATCAAAAACAGTTTTAAAAATTCATTACCCTCACTTTCATTACCATCAATTTCCTTCAGCTATGAAGGTGACGGTAATGAACTTAAAAATGAGGGTAATGAATTTTACGTTTATTTATATTTGTTATTATCTGTAGTCCCATAAATATGACATATAGAATTGATTGCACTTTTGAAATACCTACTTACAAAGATGATGGAAGTAACTAATGGCATTTCAAGGCCTTAAAGCCATCTGTTATTTTAATAACTACTTATTAAGACCATTTTTTAGATACCTCTTTCTTGAAACCATACCATTTCAAGAAAGAGTTTCGTTTATATATTAAATGTCTTTTCACAACGTTTCCTATTGTCTTGGGTATTAAACAGCGTTTTTAATGAAAAGTTTGACATTGTTGACATGCATTCAATATTTAAAGAAGTTATTTTGATGCTGTCTGTCAGTTTTGAAAAAAGTCTAATTAATAAGTTATATAAAATTAATCTTTTGCTATGCTACACATAGATTTTTCAGAAAATTACTCCGTCAAGTTTAATGAGGAGATACAAAGCTATTATTTCGGCGGCAGTCGATTGCAAATAACATTGCACACTGCGGTAGCTTATTTAATTGATCCAGAAACTGGAATCACGAAGACATACAGCGTTTTCAGTGTCAGCAAATGCAACGGACATGACGCTAGTGCTATATGGGCACATCTTATACCGCTACTAGCCTACGTAATAGAAATATCACCTCTGATTGATACAGTACATTTTGTATCTGACAGTCCTTCTAGCCAATATAGGAATCGCTACATTTCCTTCGTTGTTAGCCAACTGCAACAGGATTTTCCACAGTTAAAATTTGTGACCTGGAACTATTTAGAGGCTGGACACAGCAAAGGAGCGCCCGATGGTGTCGGTGCTGTCCTAAAGAGAACCGCAGATCAAATTGTACGGTTTGGTAATGATATTGGCACAATGGAAGACTTTTTTGAGCTTATTCAAGACAAGGTGAAGAATATCAAACTTCTTTCTGTCTCACAAGAAGATATTGAAGAGGGAAAATTTCCCTCGTCGGTTCAAGAATTTCGTGGAACAATGTCTGTGCATCAAGTGCTTTGGTCATATAACAAGCTTCGAACAACTTTCTGAAAACTAAGTTGTTTCTTGTGTGAAAATGGTGAAATATGTTCACACAGATACCATCTTGGATTTATGAACGTAACTTGTGTATGAAAATATCGATGCTGAACATCTACAAGATTCGTAACGAAAACACGTCGAACGATGTCCTTCGAGAAGTGACAAATCCTCGAGCTCCTACTCCTACTAATCAATTCCAGAATA